CTAAATTTACAGACCAAAGAAAAAATCCCCTGGAATAATCTTCTCTCAAAATGACATCCTTCTTTCAAAGATAACTCATATGCTAATAAATAAATTCAAAAAAAAAAAAAATTTTAAAATCCCAATAATTAGTGATACAACACCATCTAATAAATTACCAACCAGCATTGACTGACTCTTTAGCTGCTTGAATTACTGGTTGAGAAAACCCAGCGAATTCCTGTCCAAGTTCAATAGCTTTTTCAAGTACTTGATTCACCGGAAATACTTTACTTACAAGTCCCCATTGTTCAGCTTCTTGAGCTGTAAAAGTTCTACCAGATAACACAATTTCCATCGCTTTGGATTTTCCAACTGCTCTTGTTAGTCTTTGTGTACCTCCAGCGCCTATTTTGTGAAATGAAATATTTATAATGGAAGGATGGTAAAGTTTAATGTATGAATTAAGAAGGGTATAATTTTTAATTACCAGGAATTAGACCAAGTTTAATCTCAGGTTGCCCAAATTTGGCGCCTTCTCCTGCATATATAACATCACAACTCATAGCTAATTCACAACCACCACCCAACTGCTCGGAAGATACATTTAATAAAATCATGATTATTTGCGAATGGAATTAGGCATCCAAATATTATCTTAACAATAATTATAAGGAATCAGAGTCACAATACCGCGAATCCATTAACAGCAGCAATGACAGGTTTCTTGACATCATTAATTTTTCCCCAATGACCAAGGAAATTTGTTTTATAAGATTTAGCGAACGTTTTATCAAGCATTTCTTTGATATCAGCTCCGGCTTTTAAGATAAATGTAAAATAATTATCAAAAAATCAAGCAATTCACAAGTATAAAAATAATAATAATAAAAACAAACCAGCAAAGACACGTTCATTCCCGGTAATAACGATGGCTCCAATACTCGAATCATTATCGAACTTTTCAAGAGCATCATTAACTTCATGAAATAAGTCACTAGATAATGAATTTAGAGCTTTTGGACGATTTAGTGTGATCAATCCAACTTTATCATGACTTTCTGTTAAAATGTTCTTGTAATTAGGAGCATCAGATTTAGAGTCTTTATCACCTTGTGAATTATAAAATTTATTATTAAACATATTTTGATAAAATTAATAGTTACAAAAATAAACTTAGTTACCATTGCGTAGGGCATTATAGGTGCTAAAACGAAAAACCGGAACTTGAATTCCCTGACATGATAATGGACGTAAGAGTGAAGTAAACATCTTAATAAAGAGAGAGCTTATTTGTATAATGTTATATATATAATTCCAAATCTAATCAAAGCAAGATAATCTCATGATTTACCTATCACATTTCAGCATTTACGCATATCGATAAATAACTACCAAATTTGGATCATTATATTTTTGTCGTTGATGTTTACTAGATAGTTTACGAGCTAATATTATAGTCAGTATATACTATAAGTTCTCAATAATTACAGCATTACGACGCACATTTCCGTCCCTGGAGGTTTTAGATCATTAATTTTGTCGATCATGGACTATAAAACCTGGACAAATTTTTTGTTTGCAAGAAATGCTGAGTAACTGGATTCGTATTTGAGAAAGAGTACTAATGAGACCACGATAAATGTGACATGTAAAGCGCACCTCGCAACTAGGCCTGTTAAAAAGCTTGTCGAACCTGGTCCTTGGGTCGACCTCACATGACTTTTTGGAACCGATTCCAGGTAGCGGTAGTTTTTAAATTGATTTACTAATTGATTTATACAATTACGTGATAACGTATGCACGAAGTTAACTCAAGGACTGAGTCCTGATTATAAAGTCCCTATCATATTTAACGTTATTGGCTCCGTTTTTAATTATTTCGAGCATTTTATTACTTTATTCCTCATGTACGTACATACATAAAAAACCAGTAAATCTAAATTTAGAATTTTTACATAACGAAACGCGGGCTTTCACAATTGTTATTAATCAAATATGTACTGTAACGTACTTATCTCGATTAATTGTTTAAAAGTCTGCATTTCCTTGTTAAAATATTCCATTTAGATTCCTGGTTTTAATTTGGTAACACTTATATTTATTAAGATATAAATTTACTTCCCGAAAATGAAAAAAATTGTATATATTAATTTTAGTGTTAGTTATTTAAACTTTTGACTATTAATTATCGATAATTTATTCCGAACGATCATAATAAAGATGGCTCAAAATATTTGTTGCCAGAAAAATTTTGCGGATGATCTATGTATAAATTGTCAAAAGAAAAGAATTGAAAAAAAGTTTTTAAGTTGGACATGTGGTGATAGAACATTAGATCAATATATAAAGAAAAACCAACTAGATAATTTGGATAATCCGATGCTACTTCCTATTAAATGGATTCCTTATGAAGAATTTGAGGATTTTAAATTGTTAAGACGTGGAGGGGAGGGTGTAATTTATATTGCAACTTGGAAATTTGGACCTTTAGGATTTGGACCTGAAAAGGTTATACTTAAATGTCATCATGGTTCGACAAATGATATGTTTCTTAAAGAGGTGTGCTGATGATTATTTTAAATTTTTATCATGAATAGACTGTGTTATCGTATAATAATACATTGTTTTAATGTCCAATAGCTTGATATACAGATCAGTCTATATCATGCAAATACACCTCTTTGCTTTGGGGTTAGCCAAGAGTCGACAACAAAAAAATATATGATCGTGATGGAATACGCAGAAGATGGTGATTTACAACGATTTCTTCGCGACAAATTTGAAGAATTCAAATGGAAAGATAAATTACGATTATTATGTGATGTATCTAAAGCTTTGAAAATTATTCATAATGCTAATTTAGTTCATGGAGACTTTCACAGTGGAAATATCCTAAAAAATAATAGTCGATTTTATGTATCAGATCTTGGACTTTGCAGACCATTTCATAATACAACCAATTCTTCAAAATTATATGGTGTGCTTCCATATGTAGCGCCAGAAGTGTTAAGTGGTAAACCATACGGACCCAAAGCCGATATATATGGATTTGGGATGATTATGTGGGAGATAACATCCGGAAAACAACCTTATGGATTTGTAGCTCACAATTTCAATTTAGCACAAGACATTATTGCTGGATATAGACCTTCTATTGTTCAAAGTACTCCAAAAGAAGTTATAGGGCTAATCAGGAGATGTTGGAATGATAATCCTATAAATCGACCAAGCGCCACAGAACTTTGTCAAATATTTGAGAATTGGATTCTAATTGAAAAAATTTATGAAAAATGGGATGTCAATAATGAAGATAGATGTGTATTATCTTATGGCCCCGATGTAGAGGGTGTGAATGAAGAATTCAAACGGCATTCATCGCAAGAAAATAGTAAGGTTTTGGAGATCGATTATATTTCCGTGCAAATTAATCTTGTTATTCCAGATAATTATGAAATAAATTGATGTTTGTTCAGTATGATACATTATTTAATGTCTATATATGTGCATTAATTTTTTGTAAAATATAAGTTATTATATGAATCTCTATCTATCACTGCCTGGATTGTTTGGGATTATAAACTGCTGGGGTTTTTTCGGGCTTTAGTTATATGGCTATCGACCAGTGTATAAAATTGAACGTACGCTATGATTTCGCACATAATTTCCATATGAGCCAATTTATGAAATTACTTAAAAGTTCAAACATATCTCTCAACTAACTTCCGAATTACTTCGCGGGTTACCGAATTACTTTGACAGTCTTTTAATTTTTTTTGTCTTAACCATTCATTCGTGGCTCGGAATTCAATCTTGTGACAGAAAATCATAAGACTTCAAAAATCAGCAAATCATAATAAAGCTCGCTATGCTATCTGTAAAACAATCAATTATATCACATTATGTGATAATTGGATTTATATAAACATAATAGCGTTATTCGTAGGATAATTTATACACATTTTTTAATCATATATCCGTTATATTTCT